TTGGCAGTATGCAGCGACTTGGGGTTCTGCATGTTTGGTTGCGCATGATTCCTGACATAGGTTGTGTGTCTGGATCAGCGTGAGGCACGCCTCTCCAACTGTTCGAGTGTGAACCAGGTTCCGACAAGCAGAGAGAGTCATTTTCGTCTTCGTCGACTGCGATTTTGTGAGCCTACCGGGATGGGAGCCTTAGCTCTGGTCCTTGGAAGGCGGGTGGTAGCAGAACGGTAGATGATTGGCGACCAGGTGAGAACCTTCGTTCCTCGTATGCAGGAGCCGGAACTCAGCCAATCTTGTACAAAGATGGCGCCAGTACCATGCTAGGATGGGTCTCTGTTTCACCAGTTTCACATGGGCCATGCATGTTGAAGGATAGTGGCCTCTGAATTGCACCATCCTGTGGAAGAGTGAACACCCCCAGTGCTCCCCTTGGTCAACACGGGGGAGCCACTGGGTGGCGAGTTGTGCCTCCCTTGTGGGAGGGAGATCTGCACAGGTTTTAGCAGTACCTAGGTTGCAATGCCTTTCACTGCCGCACTCAAGACGAGCCTCTGCTTTTCGTTCGTGCAGTCAGTAAGATGGGTTGTACTACGGAGAGGGAATTTTCCTTGGCTTGCCAAGCTTTGCAACTGATGACTATTTGGCATTTGTCATCGCTTACTGCCGACAGTATACCTGGCACCTTGCAAGAAGTCAAGACAACTCTAGTGCCAGTAAGGAAACGTGGCTTGGATGATCTCATCCTTGCCAATGGAAAGCGGCCACCTTTGATTGGCCGATCAGAAAACTGCCCACGTCCCAAAGCATTTTGCTTTTCGTAGCGAATTCAGGCCCTTAGATATTTTGCAGCTCGTCATCTTTTCACCTGTCTCACTTTAGTACAGAGGAAACACTGCCCACTTTGGCTTGGGGGCCTTTGGTTGTGGTTTGTTGTTTGGGTTGTTGCGTTTTCATACTTTCTATGATGACCTGGGCCGCCCGCACGGCGTTCGCGCTCGTGGAAAAAAAGACTTGGGGTTCTGCGTGTTGGTTGGAGATCAGCCTCGTCTGAGATCCTGCAGCCTTGATCAGCTGAGGGCCTGCGCAGTTGGATAATAAATTCGGCTTGCCTGCTCAATGTTGGTGTTCCAGCTCAAGCTTCCGAAAAAGAACGAAACTGCTGATCTCAGACAGAGCTGATCTCAGACAAAAAACAACGAAACTGCTGATCTCAGACAGAGCTGATCTCAGACGAAGTATTGAGAAAAAAGCAGCCACCCTGCTCAATGTTGGTGGTATCAAAGTCAAATAAGGAAGCATGAAGTGAAAACGTCGCCCTCAAATGCAGCATTAAATCATCAGTGGTTCAGTGAAAACGCTGCCCTCAATGATGAATTGACAAAAGCTTGGGTTGCAGAACGCTGCCAGAACATCGTCTCCTGCAAAGCAGCTGACTTGGGGCCGTCATTGAGGGCCCCAATGATTTAATGTTGTATCTTTGAGGGCGTTTTCACTTCATGCTTCCTGATTTTATTCTCCAACTATGCAAGCCCTCAAGTCGCGATCAAGGCCTACAGGTGGATCTCAGACGAGGCTGATCTCCAACTATGTAGAACCTCAAGTAGGGAATTAGGGAAAAGGGACTGGAGAGATGTGGCTTGGGGACAGGGACCTGCGGAGAGGGAGGCAGGGAACTGGGGGGGAAGCTGCGCCAGGGAATCACAAATGATCCGGGACTTTCCAGACTACCGTCGTGTTTGGCCAGTTTGAAATCTCAAAAAACCGAAAAAAAACAATTTCATGGCGGTGCCCTCTTGTGTTTCAAAAAGCCTGAAGCACTACTTTGCATCGTCGAGAGCGTGTTTTGCTGCTGGCGCAGGTGGAACCATGGGCCGGAGGTGGCAGAATGCTAGATGAAAGAGTGGGGCTCTGAAATGGGCGTGAAAACTGTCAACCAATTCTGTTCCCCCGGGTCTGTCTGCAAAAGGTTTGTTTTCTTTGGTTCAATGCTCGCTGGAGTTGGCCTCTATTTTGTCCTTAGTCGATGGCTTCTGGTTACAGCTTAGCTGTTTGCCAGCAATTGCCAGCAAGCCACAGTAATGAAAATAGAAACACGCCAAAATAGATAGCCTTAGAAAATCGTTAAATCGTTAATTCGTTAAGTTTGATCTTTTAAACTATATACTTTTTATAGTAAAAAGACCAACTTATTTAATTAATGATTTAATAATGATTTCAACCCGGGAGTACGAAATGCTCTAAGTGCAGAAGTCTCGTGTCTAGAAATTGCAATCTCATTCTGGCGCACTATCTCAGTCAATGTCACACTTTCCGGTTATCTGCGCGAGCCTGTTGACGTAGACGGTCAAGAAAATGCCAGAAAATGAGAAGCTGCTTTTGGCTTCCAGCCGACATGTACGGCTCCTCTTTTGAAACCAAAAAGTAAATTCAAAAAGTGTATCAAAAGCAGGTTCACCTTTAGGTTTTTTGTCTCACGCAAAACTGACCTCCAACGTTTGAGGCAAACACCTGTGGATTTCAGACAATGCTGATCTCCAGGTTTCTAAGCCTTTCAGGTCTTTGTTTTGGTTGCCAGCTAAGCTGCATATTCCTGACATTGACTGAGATAGTGCGCCAGAATGCCTGTCTTCATATGTTTGTGATCTTTCGAAAGCTTGTACGATGATGCAAGGATTGTCCTCACGAGTGGGGTAGCTGTTATGGCGGTACCCTAGGCCATCTTTACGCGTCGCTTTCAAAAGCCTAAATCTTAAAATTGTGCTATGAGGCTTTCCACCATCTGGACAGGGAAATAGACATGAGTGTCGCCAACGGCTTGCCAAGAACAAACCCCCTGGCGAAGGACACATGATAGTCTGCATCAGGGAGAGAGCATTGCGCTTTCGACACGCACACATTAGAACAGGACGAGAGGAGACCATATCGCCAGAAGGCAGGGTCAGCGTGCAAGGCAAGCTCTGCATTCTCGACATCAGAGCAGAGCAAGAAGGAAAAGAACTGTGCTAGTGGGCAGCAACAGCGTCGCACGTGCCATCTGCATCCCCTGCACCTCTCGCAAACTTCTCTTGGCAAGTCCTGAAGCCCCGAGAAGCGCTGCAAGAATGTTTTGGCTCATCAGGACTGCAGTGTCTCAAGCTGCCGCCAGACATGAATCTTTCAGGCCCTCTCCTGTGACAACTGCAACCCCCTTACTTTCGGCGCGCCAATCACTGACATCCGAGAATGCACGCTTTCCCACTGTTTTCTTCAGAACGCACCTGGCTTCCAGGTATGGTACAGACCATCCATACAAAAGCCTTCATGGGCGGGTATCCTCAGAGAAATTGAAGTCTTGCTGACGCTTCGATGCACAGCCCAACACAGCCCAAAGCTTTCCTCGACTGTATGCCTTTTCATGATGCCAGGCAAGCGAACAACTTGGAGAGGACCCAATGCAGAAAACACTTTTGATCTGTACCCCCAATTTGTGCTTCTGAAATGGATCAACCTTCTTCCTGGTGAAGGGGATGACCCTGCATGATGAGACTGGCAATGCGAACAAACCGCACAATTTTGTGCATTTCCACATTGGTTGTGTACAGAGGCTTGCGAAGCTCCCACAAAATCAGGTGACAAAGTGGGAGGCTCAGCTCACGCATCATACCCGGCAGCATGCCCCAGTGACAGACTTCCAGGCGAGTGCTTCAGTCCTCTTCCTGGGGCAAATCGCGCAACCAGGTGGCATGACCAATTGGCTGGAGCTCAGGCGAGGACCTGAGTCCTTGTCCTGAGGGTGGGTCACTACCCCAGCTGTGTACAGAGTGTACAGGCAATCCCTCATGTTTCACACGGGCAGTGCTCCTTTGGAGGACAGGAGTTGAGAGTTTGCACTGCGGCCAAGACGATGCGTCCACTTGACCTTTCGCCACATGGATGACGTGTGCTCCTGTTGCCAAGCTGTGTTGCCCTTTCGCTTGTACGTCAGAGTTTTGTGCTCCTCTGTTTTCCCAGGCCTTCAAGCTGTGACAATTATGCACTTCGACTCGCATTCCTTTCGACTTCAATATATAATTGGCAGAGTGGCCAACAGATGCGTCATCGCCCTGCTGTCAAGATGAGCACGATGAGCACTTCTTTGAACAGTGCTCTCTGCACAGGCCTGCCGTGACAGGCCTATCGCCTACCACCGTAGTTGACAGCAAGCAAATGCATCACACTACGGATTACCTGCCTTTCGATCTTTTTGCCTTGATTCATTGCCCAAACGTCGTCGCAATAGTGTCTCAACGTTTCACCTCAGATTTCACCCTTTGCAAGTACAACGTAGAGTCTCCCTGTTCTTTTGCTGCTGTTTTGGTGTTTTTGCTTTGTGTTTGGGGGCTCTGGTTTTGTTTGTGTGTTTTCAGTTTTGGCCCCTTGGAGACTCTACTTAGAAAAATTGCACAAGCTGACCTGTGCACCTTCTGCATGAATGGCGGCTCCACCCGTGCAAAAAAAAAGAAGAAGTAGCGGTTGAATGGTGGTGACAGATGGCGTTGACAAACAAGAGTCCAAGTGTAAGTTTTCTCGCCAAACCTGTTCGCATCGCATAGGGCCTGAGGCCTACTTAAACATTTGTTCGGTGAATTGATGGTTGGAATGCAACTTAGCATTCAAACCTCAGGTTTTAGCAATGTTGAGTGGATTTTCCCGCGTTTCAAAATGAATGTGAGTCAAAGTCCCGATTTGTTTTTTCAAGAGGATTTATATCTAAGAACCAATCTGCAGTGGAAGATCCTGATAAGACGCGTGAAAAGATGCATTACAACAATTAGCCCTGCGGCGGGCGCTGGCATGATCTTAGCTTGTGTTCCCCTGCCCCGTCAAAAAAATATGGCATTCTGCAACACACGCATTGCAACGAGTTGGACAATAATTGAAGCAAACATGTGCAAACAGAACAGTGTACCGAGATTAGATAGGAGGGGTACTCAACTAGCAATTCATTTAGGGTTATCAGTGAACCCAACACTGAAAAAATACATGAAATTATCTCTTCTTGAGTGATGGGTGGTTGCCATCCATGTGAAGACGAAACAGCTCGAACCGTATGCGCCGCCAGCTCAGATGTAGGAACAACTTTCATACAAAAAACATAATTGTCTCTTAGCCTGAAGAGAAGGAAGATGGGTGGTTGTTTCGAGGCATTCCTGTGGTGCCGGCTCGGGTCTGAGTGATCCTTTGAAACCCACAACTGTGCCAGCGGAGTTTGCGAAACAACCCGGAGGTTTCGCCAATATGAAATCATTGAAGGGGCACGCAACTTGCTTTGTTTTTTTGCTTATGTACCTTGAGATTGTACCCCCTGCCTGCAAAAGTCAGGAAATTCACAAATCTGTCAAACGTGTGTAGATTCGTAGATGAATGTGGTTTCCTCTTGGTGAAGTTCTTCTTCCCGTAGGTGAAGGACGGCGCAGCGGACGAGTGCGGCTGGGGCGACGAAGCCCTAGACAAGTGTGCCTTGGCAACGCGTCGTGTTCAACGCCGTAGGAAACGGAGGTTGACGTGCTGCCCGGTTTTTTGTGGCGTTTCGTTTTGGTCTTGATCAGTTTTTTATTTGCGCCATAAATATGGCCATACCAAACCCTCAGGTGAGTGGTTTGCATCGGGGTGTGTATTGGTGTGCCAGATGGACGGACCCCCCGTCCTAGAAGGTCCTAAGCCTGGTTGGAACTCCCCGATTCAAATACACAGCCAAATTGGGCTCACAATGATTATTCTACCTCTGGTGAGTTAGGATTTATTTTTTGAGTATCCAAATTGTTAGGAGTTGTCCAGCAAGAGTCCTAACTCATGAGGCCAAATGGAACCAGGTTTTCAGAACAGCCAGATGTTCCATGATGAGACAGGAGTAACATACCGCAGAATGCCAACAAGTCCCAACTCATGCTGCATGCACGTCTCCAAAGACACCAGGTTTTGAGAGGGCTAACCCAAAAAAGTGCACAGTCTGTCACAGAGAAACACCATTTCTCAAAAAGAGTGCACATGTTTGCACAAGATGAGTTAGGAAGAACCCTTGCCATAATCTCATGTCGTGCTGCCCACACGCCTAAACAACCATAATTTAGCCATAAGGACATGCTAGGACATGGATCGGTAGCACAAGTCCTATGGTCCTATCTCATGTGTTGGCATCCAGCCACACATGCCCTGGGCACACCATTTTTGTTCAAACAATACCTCAAGAGCGTTCCTGTTTTGCCTTATGAGACAGGAGTTGTGAACCAAAAACTGGTCAACAAGTACTTTTCTTCATGAGATAGGACATTGATTTTTGGCATACCTCCTGACAAATCCTAAGTCACTGGTGAGTAGTATATTCCTTTTTGAGTCCGGGCAATACTGAAGGCCTTGACTGGTGGCAAGAGAGTATTCTCCCCGAGGCAAACATTGGATCGTGCTGGAGCCATTGGTCTATATCATGCCCAAAGCCGACCCCAAGCAGACCGTCAAGGCTTGGTGCAATCCGCATGTCATTCCCTTTACAAGCATTTCTTTGGGGGGCTTCATGTGCTTGCCTTCGCACAGACAAGCATGCAGGTCCCTGAGTAAAACGGTTGTCTTCCGGCCTGGCGTGTCGCATCGCTGCTGGATGGTTGCCCCAAAGGGTGCGGTGTCTCGCAACCGATTCAAGCTGCTCGATCCCAGCAACGTGGACGCGGGGAGACCGAACATGGTTTCTTCCAGTCTGAGGTTCGTGTCGCTCCGAGCCCAGTGTAGCTCTGCATCGTCTGTGTTTGGTGAACAACGGCCGCGATGTCCCTGGTTTTTTTGGACCCCATGGCAATGCTGTTCCTGCGATTGAGAGAGCTGCAAGTTCCACCATTTGGCAGGACAAGCTTGGGCAGTTGGGCCAGGGGCAGATCGTAGAAGGCGATGGTGTCCGCATAGACGGCTGGGAAGCCAAGATGAAATCAATGAGTGGGATCAGATCCTTGTTCTTTTTCTTAAAATGTAACTTTGACATGTTGGAAGTGGCATCTGCTACCTAAGGACAGCCTCAAACAAACCGGTTTGGGTACCTAGTTTAGGCAGTTTAGGTGACTTGGTCATGCTGCCCGCCAGTGCGACAGGATACCCGATCTCCCAAGGCGTCCGCTGGCTCCGAACGGAGTACGAGGACAAGGAGGCCCAAGGGAGGGAAGCCTTCCCAGCTGAATGGGGTGGCTGGGTTGATGACTCTGTTGTTTTTGTTCTCCAACAGAGTCAACAGAGCTCACCTTTTTGGCCTTCTGGGATGAGTTGACTAGGATGTTTGCTGCTTTTGTGTTGCTTTCGGGGGCTGCTGGCCTTGGGGGCTGCTGGCCCCAGGGGGCCTGCAACCTGGGACTATCATGACCAAGTTCGGTATCGCAACAAGGCAAACCTGCTGAAGATGGTCAGAAACGAAGCACATAACTTAAGCAGTCGACCAAGCACCTTCCCCCTCGCCATCAATCAGCTGCTACTTGACCTGCCGTGGGACAGATCATGAATTGGATCTCCCTTCTCCCACCGTGATCCTCTGCAGCCTCCTCCAAGCAACTGGATGCGGGAACTTGTTCGAAATCCTGAGAGGCCTGGATCTTAATCGATGGATCGGCCGTGGGGTTGAAGCGGCTCTTCCTGGAACCGGTGCCGGGATAGGAGGAAAAGAAGTGCGAGCAGCGGCGCGCAGCGGCCCGCGGGCGAGGTGGTAGGATTTGGATGATGTGAAGATGTTTTGACGTGGATGGGGTGTGTCCGCGGTGGGGCTCAAGCTCAGGTTGAAAGCACAAAGAGATTCCTCCAGAGAAGGAAAAGCATGTTCCGTTTAGACGCCATCAGGTGCACCCTCAGTGAAGGCATTGTGGTTCATTGGTTTCCAGCTTCTCCTTGATTCAGTAGATTGCAGCCTTGGCTGCTCCTTTCCTGATGCGCTGGGCCAGGCCATCCTGCTGGGCGTGCGTGTGTGTGTGTGTGTGTGTGTGCCCCTTGTAGTCACAGGGATTCTTTTGAATTGTTTTTCTTTCACATGAGCAGGGGGCCCATGGACACTTGGATGGCATGGGCCAACGAAGACCCATCCAAGCTGTCGTGAAAACGTACCTGCTTCGTGCACCTGGGCGCATTATAAGACGCAGCTGGTGGCCACTCTTCTTCCTTTTTGTAAAGTGCTAGTGAGCTCCGCAGACTTGCACGCTACGACGTCACCCTGTCGCTCCGTTGTCGGCTTGCGCTTTGGGCCACCTTTCCTTTTGAAGACCTCCAGGATCCGTGGTTCTTACTTGTACCCTTAGGAAATGGTACCCTAGGCCGGCGTGTGGCACCGCTGTCAAGTTAGTACGCATATCCATAAGTGTGTCTATGAGCCCGTAGAGTGCCTCCCGTGGACCCGTCGAACGGGTGTCTGTCGTTATCTCCCCTGCCCGGAGATGTACGTGTCCGGAGCGGACAGCAGATGGCTTATGCCGAAAGCATTTAGATCTTTGTCTCTTCTTTGGAATTCCAAGTTGGCTCATGCCTTTACGTGACCGCAGCGGTCCAAGCTGGCTTAACGCCTCTCAACGTGGTCAGAGCGACCGAAGTACTTTTGAGGTTCGTTGGAACCTGTCCCACTCTCAGGTGCACACACAGCGCTTACATTCAAACGAGGCAGGTCCCTAGGCTCTTCTAATAAGGTATGGTTTCATCGGTTCTCTTCCCCTCTGTTTGGTTCCCCTTTCATCCCTTCTCCTTCACACACTTTTGTTTCCTCTTTTCTTTCATGTCCTCCTGTCTTCATGTCTGGTCATCTCACCCTTTTCTTCGTTTGCACGCACGTTGGTCACGGCCTTAGTGTGTACGTGCACTTCTACATACATTTAAACACAGGTTTCAGGTCGCCCAGGTCTTTACAATGAGGTGGGCTTCATCGGGTGTCCCTGTGCACTTGGTTCCCCTTTCATTTCAACCACACGCACCTTTGTCCCGTCTCGTCCTCCTGGTATGTCTTCATTCTTTTGTCTCTTGTGTGTGCGCACGTGCGCGTTGACCCTCACCTTAGCTTTACGCCTCCCCTCGGGGAGGCGTGTGTGTGCCCCTTGTAGTCACAGGGGTTCTTTTGAATTGTTTTTCTTTCACATGAGCAGGGGGCCCATGGACACTTGGATGGCATGGGCCAACGAAGACCTATCCAAGCTGTCGTGAAAACGTACCTGCTTGGTGCACCTGGGCGCATTATAAGACGCAGCTGGTGGCCACCCTTCTTCCTTTTTGTAAAGTGCTAGTGAGCTCCGCAGACTTGCACGCTACGACGTCACCCTGTCGCTCCGTTGTCGGCTTGCGCTTTGGGCCACCTTTCCTTTTGAAGACTTGCAGGATCCGTGGTTCTTACTTGTACCCTTAAGGAAATGGTACCCCAGGCCGGCGTGTGGCACCGCTGTCAAGTCAGTACGCATATCCATAAAAGTGTGTGTGCGCGCCTTGTAGTCACAGGGATCCTTGCGGATTGTGCTTTTGTTTGTTTTCATTTGAGCAGCAGGGAGCGGTGGGCATTCTTGAAGTCACCGCTCACACTTCAAGTTTGCTGTGATATGCAATCTGGACGCAGATTGCACGTACCTGCGAGAAGATGATGAACCCATTGACTCTAGTGGTCCGCCCTGGCTCAGGCTGTTTGCAGGTCTTCTCAGGTTGCGGTAAAGTGCTAATGCATTGGCAATTACGCACGAACGTCGTCAACCTTTGGCGTGATCGTTGGAGCTTTTGGTTTTGATGGCCTTTGAGCCTTGATGGACCTCCACTTCTTTTCAGGTTTCTCACCTGTACTCTTAGGAATGGTAACCTAGGCCAGCGTGTGGCACCGCTTTCAGTTCAGTATGCACCAATCGTAAGTGTGTCTCTCCTAGTGAGAGCCCAGGGTGACCCCGCAGAGTGGCCCCTGTGGACCCGTTAAACGGGTGTCTGTCTTTATGTGCCCAGAGCGGGCGGAGTATAGGCTTACGCCAAAGTTATTTGCCAAGACTTGCTGATGTATTGAATTCCAAGCTGGCTCATGCCTTTACGTGACCGCAGCGGTCTAAGCAGCCAGCCACTTTAGCAGGGCACAAGGTGACCACAGCGGTCAAAGTACTTTTGAGGTTCGTTGGAACCTGTTGGAGCCTTAGCATTTTGGAGTGATGAGTTCCTCTCCACCACTTCCCGCCATGTCCCCCTCACCGCTGCCTTGGCGCCGACGGAGGGCATCTATATGGTGGCCCAAGCTGTACTACATCGTGAGATTCTTCATGTACACGCCTCTTTGGACCTCGTCCTCACGATCCTTCGCGCCTGCTTGGCAATACTTTCCCTCCCTTCTTGGAGCGAGTTACCTGTCCCCATCTTCAAGTACAACTTCGTGGTTGGGACTCCGCCATTCGCCAGGCGATGCAGGTCACCCACACTGCGTTGCACTACACTCATGAGTTGATGACCGCCTTCAGTTTGATCCGCACTTTGGATTTTGACACAAAGCAATTGGAAGCTGAACTACGTGGTTTCACTTCGTTTCGAGATTGTCGTATCTCCCAACCTGTCCCCCGACCGGACACCCGCCCTCCCTCCTCTTCGACGACGACTACCTCCACACGGGGCTACGACCTCTACTTGGCTTCCGTTCACCGCACAGACTCAGGATCGCAACCATTTTTGACGACCTCTACTACCAGACCGCCTCGCGGCGTCACGGTTGCTACTACCAATGGACCTCGCTCCCGCTCCGGCCCCAGCGCCACCTCGGACCGCTCTCGTGCTCGCTCACGCCTGAACCCGCGCTAGCTCGATCGTCTCACCCATCTCGATTTTGCCTCGCTTTCAGAAGAACGCCGGACCCATGATCTTTTCCCCACTTTGACTAGTCCGAATGGCCTGATGAGCCCTCTTGTGACGACGACATCAGGTGATCCAGAGATCGTGATCCGGCTGAAGTTGAAGCTCCGGACTATGATGCTGATGATACCACCGAGCCTCTCCCTGCACCTGCTATACTGAGATTGCCACGGCTGTCCCGCCGAATGAGCCTGCATCTCCTACACCGGCATCGGGGACACTCACTACTACACCGGCGACTCAGGCATCACTTCATATTTCTGTGCCTTGGCCGAATCTGGCTTTTCGACCTCGTGTTCCTCCTGGCTCAGCCAGCAACCCTCGAGCACCAACCCCCCGCCAAAAACTCCCGGACTGTTCGGTTCGGGTACCTGATCAAACCAACAGGTGAAAGGGTCCGCTTTCGCATTCCGTGCCCATCCTCACCTTTTCACTTGCCTGAGGCAAAATCGCGCCCCTAATTCACTCCAATTTCACCGCCAACTCTTCGTTGCCTTCGCTCAAAAGAATGAGTTACTTTGCCCCTTTACTGCGCACTTCCCCTTCCTTTCCTTCTCGGGACAGACCCCCCAGGTTTTCAATTTTTTTCAGGTCTGAACCCCATGTTTACCACAGCGCAGGACCTTTTCACTTTCGACCTCTATCCCATTGCCCTTCCCAGTCTTCCTCGGGTTGACAACCAGTACAATGCGCACTGTGTTGATCATTTCCACGCCGGAATCATGGCGACTTCTATGCTGCTCTTCCCCATGAAGAATGGACATGTCGTAGCTACGGGCATATTAGATGTGGACTACTACAAGAATATGCGTGGTTTCTTCATTGACCAGCACCCCTACTCCACTTGGTCCAATTTCCACTGTCGCCTGTGGCACACCCGTGGATGGCAGCTGGTTTTGGGGCTACACCCAGTCTTCAGGTTTGGGATGCTTGTGAACGTTGGGAGCAAGCCTTGTATGAAGAGGAACAACGGCTTCTCGCACAAGAGCATCGACCTTCTCCCGACGCTCATCCCCGGGCGTCAAACGTCAGGCTGTTGACAATTTGGAGTATACCCGAATGGACGTGATGATCCAGAGCATGATTGAGCATTTCACCGAAATGGACGTCTCTGGGAATCCTGCTCTTCGCCATCTTACTCCTGATCAGCAACGTGAAATGATCGACGGCTTGCTTCACAACTTGACCAGCTACCAAGAAGAGCTTTATGCGGCCACAGATCGAATCATCTCAGGCTGCCGGACCTTCGACCCAAGTTGGTGCCGACCTACCCATCTCTCCTCCTGTTGCACGTGTGGATGTCTTTGACGTCCTCTTCGACTTCACCGCCAACTACGTTGCCCCCTCCTTACCCCCCTACCAACGAGGACCAGAACTGACAGCCCTCTCCTTAGTTGGAGGCCGTACGTTCTTCCCTGGTCTCGGTGATCCTGTCGGTTTCACCCTGCATGTCTGCGGCGCTGCAGATTGAAACACTTGCCCGCGCTTTTACACCAGGTTGTTCTTTCCTCCATTCCCCTGGTTTGTACCTAGATTTTGTTGTTTACCGTTTGCCATCACTTCTTTCTTTTTCTTTTCTTTTCTTTTCTTTGTTACCGCAGCTATTTAGCTTGAATTACCCGCAACCCCTTGATGATTCCCCCTCGCCTATGATTTCGCCCCCTGGACTACGTGTTCCTGAACCTTTGACTCAGCTAATCCCCACAGATTGGCGTGAAGTTTCAGGTCCCTTACCTTCAACTGTCCGTTTTGAGCTGGACATCAGCCTCTTGGTCTACCAACCTCTGAACTACATCACCGTGACCCTGACCACCGCGCAGATCGAAACCAAGGAGTGCACGGTTGACAACCTCAAGGACGTGATCTTTTCACGTTAGGGGCAACAACGCACTGCATTCTGGATGGCCCTTCCTTCTACCGGCGACTCTCGGGTCTGGGAAGTACCACACACACCTGCGCCCTGGAAGATTTGGTTCTTTATTATGTGAACTCTCGTCGTATTCGCCCCATCGGCATCGACCATAAATTTTTCACGTCAGTCGACATCCTTTCCCTATCGCCCTCTACCTTCGATTGCTCCCCGTCTACATGATGATGCCAT